AACCAGACCACTAGGGTGACCCAGGGTTCACTGGGAAGATAACATCCAACAGTCCTTAACTGACAGAAAACTGGAATGGAACATGACACAAAACGAAAACTGCATATAGAGAAGTCTGCCAATCTCTCTGGCAAATGTTGACTTTAACCCCCAGGGTAGAAAAGGATCGACCAAGTTAAAAGAGTAGAGAAAGGTAAGTAATTTGGAGAAGGTATAGAATTTACTGCAGTAGACAGCAAGGAGTAGGAGGAACTGCATCATTTGGATGACGACCTTTGCTCTATGAGAAAATAAAAGACAGTATCACGTTGGCCGCCTTTACTTGTCACAATATATCTTGGTACTGATTTAATCCTTTCGACCCCAAACAATGCGTGATTTGTGATTAACACTTATGTGAATCCCATTCAACATATAAACAATATGCTGTAGTCATTTTCATAGTTAGGTACAATATAGTAGGAAGTTTAGCTTGCTAAGTTTCTGCTTTTTTTTTAAGCAATACACTTGAGGTTCTTCCTGTGACCTCCTGTAGTAGATTAAAAGTGTGACCTCTGTTAGAAGATATCAGGAGATGGCCGTGATAAAAACTGCAGGAGGCCGTGGTTTTTATTATTGGTTACTTATATATGTGGCAAGGTGACCAAATAAATCTGTTCATTTTGGTTTGACTGCACTAAAGGACTAAAAACCTGGCAGGTCATGAGCATTAAAAGAAACATGACAGGAAGTTTAGCCCTCATTCGCCAAGCGTCAAGTCGCAAGCCTAGCTCGTTCTGCCGGATTATTTTACTGCCTGATTGTCTATAGCATTATCTTGACATTTGATTTGCTCGATTATACGGCTTGGATCTGTCTTGACTGGTTAATGCGTCGGCTTTTTAAAAAGCATTATTTTAGTTAAAGTTCATTGCTTTGCAAAGCGAGAGTCTGTTGCCTCGCTCGCAAAACATCCAATTACTGACAGTTTCATCTCAACATTAATCACTTGCATTTACGGCTTGATTTGTGAGTTGAGATTTATCTGAGTCTGATAATCAAGCACAAGTCCAGAGTTCGTTGCCTTGCAAATAAGCCAGCTGAACTTACAGCTAGCTTACCATATAATAGCACCATGACACGTGGTAACCACTCATATGGAATGAAAGCTGGCCAGCAGAGGCAAACTAACAGCCCCGCCACCAGAGCTGCATCAGCACCCAAAGAAGCTGCACCTATCAAGGTGCCAGCAGTCCAGACGTTTCTACCACCAGAAGCTGCCCCTGTCAAAGCGCCAGGCAACCCGGTATATCATCAGACAGTAAAAATGGCCCATTCGAAGAGATCGGTGTGATGGCACTCCTTCTACGAACCCATCGCAGATAAACCAGACAAGCAGCACACGTCATCTAGCAGCAGGGGAACCGGTCTAACATCTACAGCAGGGGGGCAGAGAAAGAGGCCACCTCATTCGAGGGGGTTAATTGCAGGCAGCACCAAAAACACAATAAGGAGAAGCACCCATTAGAGGACGTTTTTCCTACCACAATATAGCTAACCAAAATCAATGAAGGGCAGGCTAAATTGAAAGTCTTGTCAGCCATGACCCTCGGCAGAAACGTGAAAACCAGCAGACTACTTGGCTACATCCGACAGAACAAGAAACCAGAGCTACAGTTGCGGCGTGAGATAACTGTGGAGGCGAGCAAAGGTAATAGAGCTGGCAGAGGAGCATAACACTGAGCTGACCACTAAAGAGTGACAAGAGTTAAGAACCAAACAGGAAATAGTTAGGGATGAAGACAGGAGCAAATGTCTTCAGAAAACAAAAGAGGCAACAAAAAGGGAGTATTCCTAACAAGTGGAAACAAAAATATTTACAGCACTGAGGTAAATTACAAGAATTAGTGTTGTTTCCAAAGCCGCTAATGTCCTTAATGACAATGTCGTTGAATCATTTTTGAAGGGTCTTAAGGAAATGACAGACACAGACAAGGTAGTTTTTTAAAACCTTCCTTGCCAAAGAATCAGAAAGAAGCTACTGGTGACAAATGCAGACTTAGTTTTTTAACGATTTAAACAACAGTGATTTATATACTACATAAATCAGTATCACGTAAAACCAAAATGTGTCTAATTTTTTTAATTTGCAAAAAAAAATAAAAATAACCAGAGAACAGATGTACTGAAAAAATCTGATAGTCTCTTGCCACAGACCTGTATGCAGGACTAGTCCATATGTGGTTCAGGGTACCAGGGTGAAATTTCCAAATGCCACCTTCCACATAGGTGAAGCATTCCACATAGGTGAAGCATTCTGTTGTACAAGCTGTAATGTCATTTACGCCATCAACTGCAAGAGATGTGGCATAAAATACATTGGTGAAACATCTTTTGGATGTGCATAACGGTGCCCTAAAACCAGTACCATTTCACTTCAATTCTCAGGACCACCAAGGTGTCCACGACATGGAGGTGACAGCCATTAAATCTAGCGACTCCAGTGACATAGTTCGCAAGTCTCTTGAAAATTGCTTTATATACACTTTGAGAACTCTTGCGCCCAGTGGACTAAACTGCCAACACAGCTTCATCTAAAATCCTAGGAGACTGATCTGCCTAAACAGTTATATCTTATCCTTGAGTTAGGGCCCCTGGCATTGCCCAAGATATTTATTTTCCCCGTTCCCACATGTCTTGCCAGTCTATTGGCTAGACATCGACCTGGCTGCTTTGAGATACGAAGATAAGTGATACTGTGTATTGTCTAGTATTGTCTAATTTATATATGTGCTGATGAAGGCTCCATAGTCGCAACATTAACATTCTGTTTGTAGCTCCCCGCTACATCATTTTCAATATCCTCCATTTAAACTTACGGTAAAAAAATCCATGCGACTCTCAATATCAGTGAACTCTGCGACTGATGAGACCAATTCTATATAAAGAAAACCTGATTCCACCTTACTGAGCATGCATTCTAAATCTAATACTATGACATATGTGAATTATCCCCCCCCTGCCCCCCCTACCCATCGGGTTGCTGAGTTCCACTGAAGTGACATTTTTCCTTGGAGATTCCTCTTGACCAATGATAATAGTAAATAATAGTAATTGTGACCGGTACCATCAGTATTGGAACTCTGCGCTGGCTGCTGAAGATAAGGACAGAGCAGGCATGGGAATGCCCCGAGTGCTGTGATGTCAATTCTTAACTCAACTCAACTCAGTAGTTTAAGAAGATAAAGGTCCCTTTTCCACGCCTCTTGACATATTAGGAATAAAGGGCTAGACATATATTTGTATTGACCAATCGCTCTTGGTGGGTGATGTGGTCAGCATCATACCGGCCGCCTTTACTAGCACCTGGTACTCACTCAAGGCTGGGTCGATCAGGGAGTCAAGGTAATTTTTGAAAAAATCTGGCACCGTCAGGTCACGAACCCACGACCCTCCAATCCGCAGGTGGGCATCTAGCCGCCAACGCCATGACGGCTGCCTGACCAATGATAACGCTGAATGAAAATGAATTTATATATATTAAGTATATTTTCTGACTCCAGATTTTTACCAAGATGTGACAAGTTCTTCAAAGATATAATTAATATATGAACAACTTTGCTATGACAAAGACTAAAAAAAAAAAAAAAAAAAAAAAAAAAAAGATTTGTGACGGCACAAATTATTTTTAAGAATGACATTATACAACAGTAAGTGTTACTAGAGGCTTGTCAAAATAAATGTCCAATAAGACTCCAGCAAATATTTTGACTACACAAGATCACAAATGAACTGAAAAGGAAAATATAATGTTTGTGATTGGAAAACATTATTAAAGCAAAAAGGATGGAGATGGAAACGTTTGCAGATCACCTCATGATACACTAGCAAGAACAGCTCTCTAATGGATGGTAGATGAAAAAAGGGTAGGATAGGACAAATAAAAATTTATGAATAAAAAATGATTCTCCCCCCCCCCCCCCCCCCCCAGGTATAATGTTGTTGTTTGTTTGTTTTAGTATCCAGAAGCCATGAGTTGTTAACCCTTAGGCTCGGTATTATGGATATCGCAACCTTTCGGCTTTGATTCCATTGTAAATACCGTAAATATGGGAGAAAATGTGGCTTTTTTGCTTATCCCTGGGAGTGAACCCGGACCACAAGGAGTTTGTCACCCGGTCTCCGCGCAATCCGGTTTAGCCAACTACGCTAGAGAGCCGGGCAGGTATAATGTTAAACTCAGTTTGGTAAAGGATTTACAATCCCCTTCTTCTTTTTTGCATTTACCAGCTGTAAACTCTGGCAGAAAGTTCTGGGTATTCATCCACCTCCAGACTTGTCATTTCCATTTCACACATATGGCTTATGTGTACGTAGACTCTTGGTTCCTTGCCTTTCAAGCAGATGTACTTTGACTGCATAGGATGATCTCAATTAGTCGACTAGTATGACATGCTCGTTAGGGAGGCAGCGGGTCTATTCTAGTTTTCCCCAGAATGGGTCCCTGGAACCCACACAGGGATCACAACCAACAAAAAATATTAGGACAGATTATCTGCCCAATGTGTTATTTTAGTAGGCTTCAAATACCCAAGGATAACATCAACTATAATTAGAACGAAGTGGATGAATAGACTTTAAACCGTATGTGATGTGGGCACAACATGATGATGATGACAGTAGTGATCTTAGAAATGTTACCATGTACCATGTTTCCCCCCCCCCCCCCCCCCCCCCCACATAAAAAACTACCTAAAAAAATAAACCCTAGCACAAATTTTTAAGATGCCTTTAATATAAGCCCTACTCCAAAAATTAAAACCTACCACAATTTTCAATAAGCTTTAAATATAAGCCAGAATAAATGTAGTACTTTGTACATTTATAAATATAGACTTTTATTTCCAAAAACAAAAAGGCTTAGTGCATTTTCTTGGAGCAAAAAATAACATAAGACCCAGTTTTATTTTGGGGGGAAACATGGTATGTACAAGATGTATAATTTTAGGTGAGACTTTTTCTCAAACATCTGGTGCACTATTATCAGTCTTGAAAGCCAGTTTGGTTGAGTGAATCCAGTCAAGACATTTGAGATAAATTGTTCCTGACAGTGTCCTGGCATTAACAAGAGCTTTTCCTTTTTCTCCAATATAGCCTGAGGATATTTAATATTCACAGTATTATACTACCTGATAAATAACTTCATGTTAATATTTTTAACTAAATAAATAAACTTTGTATTATATACTATTTAATCTAACAACTAAGTGGTAGACTACTTTATGTGACCTATCTTTGTCACTTAATATAGGAAAGAGAATTCTTAAAAGCTGTATAAATTATATCTTGATATACGGAAGTGAATCATGGATAGTTGGCAGATTCCTGAAAAACTTATTTGGAAGCTGGGGAGATGTGGTTTTATAGACAAATGATGAGAATACCCTAGATAGATTAACAAGTGTTACGAGGACATCTTGAAAGAAAGTGACTCCTGAAGAGAACTGATCGCCCACATCAGAAAGAGACAATCCACATTCTGTGGTTATGTGAAAAGAAAGAGAAAACTGGAGTACATCGTGACAGTAGGAAAGTTGGAGGAGACCGAGAAAAAAGATGCTGGACAGTTTGACATCATGGCATGGAGAATCGTCTATGCCAGAGTTGATTGAAAATAAGGCGAGACAGAAGATCATGGATAGATGGACTTTAAGAATAAGATGAAGAAGAAGTCACACTATTTATCTAAATCTTTAAGTGTTAAATATTATTTACATTATTGCTGATATTATAAAAATAATGTTGACAATTTTTTGTTCATCCTGTGCTATATTGCATTTTACGGAAGCACCAGAATCCAGCCTATAACGACCGCAAGTGTAACTAACAAGACCTGCTAGTGTTTTGAAGACTGGGTTGAATATTATCCTTTCCACAGCACAAATTCCTGGGCCGTTCTTTACAGACTATGTATTGCCCAAGCAGCATGATTTAGGCTTAGACCTGCCTTGTTTACTCAAAAGGAAACGTAACACCAATACATTTGGAAAAAAAACATGCTGCAGAAGCTGCTGGATCATTAGGGCAGTGCTCTCGGTCTGTACGCCTTTTGGAACTGCCCTCCCAGACCAGCTGCCAACCAAGGTCTACCCAGTCATAACATGAAGTTTTCAGGTTACATTTCCTCTTCCTAAAATAAGGCTAGTATCCTCCATAATTTACTTCTGTCCGAATATAAATTTGTCACAGCCAGATACAAGCATCTCCATTCCTACTTTATGCCATAAGTGCCAAAAATGGACAGTGAAAAGGGCACTAGAACAGAAAATAACTATATGTGAAATGCGTTGTCTCCACGCAAGGTCACTAACAAGAAGGGACAGAGCTGTGATTACCAGCATTAGAGAGAAAGTTGGAACAAGACTGTGTCTGAATTATACTGACAGACAAAGAATAAAATGGTTCGGCTATACAAAGAATGAAAAGGTTCGGCTACCTAGTGAGAATGCCAGACCAAACTGCATTTTATAATTTTTTTTTTTTAAACAGCAGAACATCTAGGGAGGAAGGCAAGGGGAAGACCAAGAAATAGATAGATAAATGGTGTAACCGAAACCTGCAAAAAGATGAACAAATCCAGCACATGAGCTATCTGAAAAGTGCAAAAAAAATACTGAAAACCACAACATTGGGCAATACACCTGGTAACAGTGAGACGACAAAAGAAGAAGAAGAAGAGGAGGAGGAGGATGAGAAGAAGAAGAACAAGAAGACAGCCAAATAGCATTAAAAGCAAAGTATTTTATTTCTTCTTCTTCTTCGTTTACCGCCTGTGAATTCCGGCGGAAGGTCCCGGTTAATCGTCCGTTTGAACTTTTGGCTTTTACCTGGACCTGAGTTTTGCGTGTACAACCGTTTTACTGGCTTTTTCCGTTCCCTGCCTCACGGAGTATTTTTTTTTGTTTATTATGCACTTTTACAAGAAAACATTTGTCATGACGCTTAAAATAACTACAACTAATGAATACAACAAATCACCTTCTTTATGATGTGGGAGTCCAGTCTGAGTAAATGTGGCATCAACATTCTCATCAACGACAACTGTTGGACTGTCCAAGTTTAGGTCTGTGTTGGTTCCTTCAGGAAAACTCAGAGAAATATCACCTGTAGAGGGAAAATCAGAGAAATATCACTTGTGGAAGGAAAACTCAGAGAAATATCACATGTGGAAGTAAAACTCAGAGAAATATCACAATAAATGATAGTTCTTTTGCATTTGGGTCAACAATAGTTTTTAGACTCACAGGCTTTTTCATCAACTAAATTTTTTTCCGCCCGTGTGTCACCGGGGCCCTCACGGGAAGCAAAGAATAGTGACACTGCACCCTACCAGGCAAGTCGTAAGAGGCGACTAAGGGTAGGGTTGGGCTTGAGGTTGGATACCTCATCCTGTAAAAACCATAGCCACAAAAACCAACCAACCATGGATAAGTCAAAAAGAGAAGCAAATAAAATCCAGCCAACCAAGATGAGGGAAGGCTCTTCAAATAGAAGAAGTATGACACGGTGTGGAGAAAGCCATAAGGAGTCCGGATCGTTGACGTACCTCCTCTCAGCTAGGAAAACCTCCAGAATTGGCACCTGGAATGTTAGAACTCTCTATGATATAGGGAGAACAATGGAAGTAGCAAAGGAAATGAAACATTATAGAATTAGTATTTTAGGGTTATGTGAAACTAGATGGACTGGGGCAGGGAAAAATATTCTAAATTCAGGAGAAACTATTTTGTTCTCAGGACACACAGAGGAAAACTCGCCGCACAGTGAGGGAGTGGCCCTGATGCTATCAAAAGAAGCAGATAGGGCACTAATAGAATGGGAAGCTGTGAGTCCCAGAATAATAAGAGCATCTTTTAGAACAGTTAAACAGAAGGTGAACATCTCGGTAATACAGTGTTATGCACCAACAAATGATAAAGATGAATCTGTTAAGGAAGAATTTTACATGCAGCTTCAAAATATTATAAATAATGAAAGAAAGGGCAACTTAAAAATTTTGATGGATGACTTGAATGCTAAGATAGGATCAGACAACACAGGTTATGAAGAAATTATGGGGAGACATGGTCTGGGAGAAATGAATGAAAATGGAGAATTGTTCACAAATTTTTGTGCAGGTAACCAGTATGTTATTGGTGGAAGTATTTTTTCCCATAAAAGTATACACAAGGCAACATGGGAATCACCAGACCATAAGACAACTAATCAAATTGACCACATATGTATAAACAAAAAGTTTAGATCATCCCTTTACGATGTTAGGGCTTTCAGAGGTGCCGATGTATTTACTGACCATTTCCTGGTGGTAAGTAAAATCAAGTTGAAACTAAAAAGATATATAACATCTTATAATCATAGAAACCAATATAATGTAGGCTTTCTCAGAGATAAAGAAATTAAGGAACAGTTCTCAGTTACGGTCTCTAATAAGTACCAGGTGTTGCAGCAGTTAGCTGAAGATGTCAACACAGAAGTCTGCTGGGATCAGAACAAAGGAATCTGGAATGAATCTTGCGTAGAAGTTCTTGGCAAGAAAGAAAGGAAACATAAAGCATGGATAACACCAGAAACCATTAAACTGATGGAAGATAGGAAAAGTAAAAAGGCAGAATTAAACAATAGCAAAACTAGAGCTGCTAAAGCTAGAGCTCAGGAGAAATACACAGAAGCCAACAAGGAAGTTAGGAGGCATATAAGGGCAGATAAAGTGAAATATCTTAATGATCTAGCACAAGAAGCAGAGACAGCAGCAGCAAAAGGAAACCTCAGAGAACTTTACAGTAACACAAGAAAATTAGTAGGTAAATATAGTCAGCCAACTGGATCAATCAAAAATAGTCAAGGAAAGGTACTTACTAACACTAAAGATCAAATGGACAGATGGGTTGAATATTTTGAAATGCTTCTAAATAGACCAGGCCCAGAGGTTCCCCCCAGATATCCAGCCTTTAGAAATGGAACTGGATATCAACTGTGAGATACCATCCAAGAGGAAATTAGGAAAGCTATAAATCTTCTCAAGGAAGGAAAGGCGACAGGCCCAGACGGTATCCCAGCTGAAGCCATCAGGCCAACATAAACACATCAACAGAATTGCTACATAGATTATTCAGTAAAGTCTGGGAGACCGAAGAAATACCAGCAGACTGGAGAGAAGGATATCTTGTGAAACTGCCCAAAAAAAGGTGATCTACAGGAGTGTGAAAACTATAGAGGAATTATGTTGCTTTCAGTTCCTGGAAAATATTAAGTAGAATTATTTTGGGAAGATTAAAAAGATGCTATTGATAAAATGCTAAGAGATGAGCAGGCAGGTTTTCGGTCAAACAGATCCTGTACTGATCAGATAGCCACATTACGTATTATAATAGAGCAAAGCATTGAACTGAACTCACCACTTTACATTGGATTTATAGACTATGAAAAAGCATTTGACAGCATAGATAGGGAATCTCTCTGGAAATTGATGGGGCACTATATGGAATCCCACAGAAAAGAAAATTATCAAACTTAGTAAAGGCAACACATATAAGACATGAAATGTCGAGTCTTCATGAGGGAAAGCTAACAGATGCATTTGAAATAAAAAAAAGGTGTGCGACAGGGATGTCTTTTGTCGCCTCTCTTATTTTTACTGGCTATAGACTGGACTATGAAAACAGTAACTGCTAACACCAAGATGGAATTCAGTGGACCCCTACAAAACAGCTTGATGATCTGGACTTCGCTGATGATATTGCTCTTATGTCCCATTCACGGAATCAGATGCAAGATAAATTAAATATACTTAATGCGAGATCAAAGCAGCTTGGTCTGAAAATCCATAAAGGAAAGACAAAGATAATGAGAATAAATCAGGCAAATAGTAATGTGGTTTCTCTTAATGGCACCCCACTCCAAGACGTGGAGTCGTACACCTATTTAGGCAGTAATGTAGATAAAGATGGAGGAACTGAATAGAGATATTAAAATAAGAATACAAAAGGCAAGAGGGGCTTTCATAGCACTAGGGAATTTGTGGAGGTCAAAAGAAATTAAAAGAAATACTAAACTAAAAATTTTTAATTCTAATGTCAAATCAGTACTATTGTATGGGGCGGAAACATGGAGAACAACCAAGGCAATTACTAATAAATTACAGACATTCATTAACTGGTGCCTGCGCAGAATAGAGGGAATAAAATGGTATGATAGAATAACTAATGTAGAACTTTGGGAGAGAACTAAACAGGCTCCAGTGGATCAGGAAGTGAGGAAAAGACGCTGGCGTTGGATAGGGCACATACTGAGAAAACAGGAGAACAGCATTACTAGAATGTCTTTGCATTGGAACCCACAGGGGCATAGGAATAAAGGAAGGCCAAAAAACACATGGAGAAGAGAGCTGGAGAACGAGGTTAGAAAGATTGGGAGGACATGGGGAGAGCTCCATGCAATGGCGAAGGATAGAACGACTTGGCGTGAGTTGGTTGAGGGCCTATGCTCCATTGGGGGATAGAAAGGCAGAAGAAGAAGAAATTTTTTTCAATATTTTTTTTGAGTATCCAGAAGCCATGGGTTGTTAACCCTTAGGCTCGGTATTATGGATATCGCAACCCTTCGGCCTTGATTCCATGATAAATACCGTAAATCTTGGTTGCTTTTTTTTTTTGGCTGTCCAAGATATTCTAAGCATTGTTCTGTAAAACCACATCTCTGAGGCCTCAGGAAATTGTGTTGGCCTGCCTACCGATTGTCCAGGACTCACAACACATTGCCTTTAAATATAAGTTCTTACTTGACGAGGCTAACAGTTACTATTGTACAGACCACATTTTCCACTTTAAAATTTCAGCCAAAATGTAATCACAACCTCACTTATCTGCTGCACCTTTACAAATACAGATGGAGGATCGGTTGCACCTCGAGATAAATACAAAAACAATTTTTAGCACGCTGCAGTTGACATTTTATGCAGTATAATTCACTTTGAGTGTGAAACAAGGGAAAAACTCTTTTCGACGGTGGCGAGGAAAGACAATTTAAATTTTGACTTTTAAGTATCTTCATGCCTTCTTTAATAATGTCACAATATATAGCTGACTTTACTTGATTTTTGCCGTGGCACCCCTAACTTTGAACAGGCCTCAAAAAGTTAATATATCTTCATCATATGTAACAGCTCCTTTGTGGAAGTAGAATGTCGCAGCCTGCCTGAAAGAAACTCGGTATTCCGCCAGATCGCATGCATTGTGCACTTTCCTACCCAAGATGTCACTTATATCGTGTGCCCATCTTTACTCTGGTCAACCCCTGCCCTTTTTTACTGGCAGCAAACCTTCAGTTACTCTTCTTTCTGATCTGCCTGATATGACCTACATTTTTCAGTTGATGAGACAAGATGCTGTTTACTAGCTAGTCTTCCTTGATGTTCAGATCTTTTCAGGATTTCAATATTTCTCTTCTTCTTGGTCCATGGGATTTTGAATATATTTCTGTAGCATTTCAGTTTAAAAACCTGTATTTTCTTCCTTATCGACTAAGACAGTACATGACTCACATCCATATATTGTTATAAGGAAGACGCATGCCCTCAAAACTTTGACCTTGATTTCCTTGCTGCGCTTAACCCTTGACTTATAATGCCGTATGATCTTCATTGAAAAAAATTTGTTTAAAGTCAGAATTTCCTACCAGTTGTGACCTCCACGTCAGCTTTGTTGTGTTTACTGAAGTGAACTTGGACACTTCCAGACTGCAGCCCAACATCCAGATCTCCTTCGAGACTTTCTAATGAAATTAATTAAAAACAAGAAATATACATTAGTAAAGTCAGGATGTGGCATATTAACACACATGGTTTCACTCTTTCAACACCAGACAACTAACTCTTATTAGTCTTACTTCCTTTATAGCACTCACCAAATGTAAACTTTGGTAGAAAGTTTTGGTTGTTTGTCCACTTCTGGACTTAAGTCTTGTTCCAGGACATGAGTTCTTCATGCACATTCATTTTACAGATCTGGCTCATCTATATACTGCTTTTCTGCCATGGTATCCCTATTAGTTTAATTCCTCTATTTCCCATTCTACTGTCCTTCTCCAGGTTTCCTTAGGTCCCTTACATCTACTTTTCCAATCTGCCATCCACTGGAAAGCTGTCTTGCCAAGTCTCCTGAAGCATTCTGCAGGCTTGTTTATTTTCTTTCTTTAATAATGTGTACAAGCAACTCATCATATACTTACTGATTACTCTATCCCAGGTATATATTAGCTAACATCCAATTTATTACAGTTTATGCAGACTCAAAAATTGTTCCTCTAAAGGAGATAAACTTGTAGAAAGTCACGCATAATGTGCCAATTGATCTATAAAAATAACGGTCTAGCCCTATATGCCCAATATGACAAAAGGCGTTGAAAAGGGACCTTCTATGACATGACCAAAGAATGTAGATTGTTTTGTTCTGATGTGGGCAATCAGTTAGTTCTCTTTGTGAGTCACTTTCTTCCAAGACATTTTCATTAATCTTTTTTATCCGTTCTGGATATTCTTACCCATGGTCTATAAAACCATACCTCTGCTGCTTCTAAAAAAAGTTTTCACTAACAGACCAACTGTCTATGATTCACTTCCGATATAAGGATAGGATTTATACAGCTCTTGAGAATTCTCTTTCTCATTTTATTTGACAAAAAAAAAAGACTGCACAGAATATTCTTCATATTTTACAATGTCTTTTGATAAAAACAGGGCAATGGCCTTTTGGCTTTGCAAAAACAAATTTTTTAAACTCCTTACGTTCAACCAGCATTCCCAGAGGAGGAGGGGGGGGGGGGGGGGGTTAGGTTATAACTGTGACTAGGTTATGTGTGCATTAAAAATGGCTTGGCACTGCTCACCATCAAGTAGCCCCAAAAAGTACTCCCGCAGTGTTATTGCAATCAAAGGAGAGAGACCCAAATACCACCCTAACCTTCGATGAAGTTGTTTACTGTCCAGCCAATGGGCCACCCGGTCGCTGATAAAATAGTGCCATGTGATTCCATTATTGAGGCCCTAAATACACAACTTTAACTGAGCTAAATTGATTCAATCAAAGTTGCAATCAAAGGAGAGAGACCCAAATACCACCCCAAGCTTCGATGAAGTTGTCTGCTGTCCAGCCAATGGGCCACCCGGTCGCTGATAAAATAGTGCCGTGTGATTCCATTATTTATTTATTTAGGCCCTAAACACACAACTTTAACTGAGCTAAAATGATAAGTCCCTTGTTAAATTTTTTTTTAAATGGTCAGGTGGTTAATGTTCAAATCTGTAGACAAGTTTTCAACTTTAAAAAAAAAAAGATTACTGATTTTTTTTCAAACTGAAAAAAAATAAAAAATAAAAAAAAACATTTCCCTAACTGTTAAAAAAAGAGGCCACAATTCTTATTGTGGTTTATTATCAACAGCCACAAATCAACAATTGTCATGGCATTTCTACTAACCAATCTTCAGGTGAGATTTGTCTGCCTGCATGTACACTTGTCCATGGCACTGCCCGAGGTGAACATTGCCCCCATCGGACCTGAAGATTGCACTGTCAGTGTACAAGCTCTTGATTACAACTGAACCCATCTCTGATTCACAAAAGATGTTTGAGCCCTGTAGTTTATCTGCAACTATATTCTGAAAGAGAAATCAGTGACAGTTGTGCTCATATTTTCTATGATGTATTTCTATATTACAGTTGGTACTAATCACGAAAGTCACCCCATCTTGTTCGGGCAAAAGGTTTCTTGGCCGTTCCTATGGGCTGTCCTATGTTCTAAAAGTGTTACGAGATGCCCTCATTCCATGTCTATACAGCGTGGTGAAAACTGACTCGTTTGTCGACGAAGTTGTGCAGCTTTCTTTTCTGTGGAAAATTTATCATTTCTTGAATGTGCTGTTGTATGACATGCTTGTTGTGTCTATCACACAGCTATATTTAAAGTCAAGTTAGCAGGCAGTATAACCACCCTCTTATAGGAACAAACAGTAGAGGTGTCCCCAATCCCATAAAAAAAACAAAAAACAACAACAGGGGCCCCGGAACCACAAACTGATTTGCACACAGGTAGACACAGGATACTGGTCAGCATGGGACTTTGTTTGCCAGCTTTAAGCTTTGACACAAAGGCCTAGTTGTTCATCCACTTGGACTTTGGCTTTGCGTCTACAACCATTTTACTGGTTCATTTTTGTACAATTGGTTGTTCCTAGCCGCTCAGGCAGATGCACTCCGACTTCAAAGAAAGCTACCAATTATTCAACTTCTTTGACATGCTTGTTGGGGAGACAGTATGTCCATTCTTGTTTTTCCTACAAAGGGACTCTGAATCAACATGGGGAGAATGCAGGTCAATTAAAACAATCTTTCTAGATGGAGATTCAAACTCAAAGACCTTTAGGCTGGCAGACAAGCATGTAGCCACCGAACTACTGCGGCAACAGAACCTTAAATCTTCTCTTACTTTAATTACTTCATTGAAGTGTTAGGAGGTGATTAACCATTTTTCCAGTGCTCATTTTAATGAACTGCATAAGCTGGTCCTTATTTCTTTAAGACTGTTCTTGATGCCATTGTTCCATATTTTCAGTGGTCTTCCCCTTGCTCTGTCTTCATTATATTTATTCAGCGTGCTATATTACGATCCTGTTCACAGAGCAATAAATAGCCATAAATACAAGCTTTCACAAATATTCATGCAGACGCATAAGTACCATTCAATTTATGAAACTGTAAAAAATTGGTGTTACTCATCTTCTTCTTTTGTGCTCGCCTGAAGTGTTGTGGTTAACAGCTAGGCTGTGATATCTACACTTTTCAGCCTAACACATCCAATTTCGGCTAATTTTTAATTAGCCTTTTATAACATGCTTGTTAAGAAGGAGTAGTGGGTCTTACTCAAAAAATACTTTCCACATACGAAGTATGCTTTGCTCTATGACAGTGCCTTGGCTAACTCCAGACCAAACACCTGAAGAAAACACAGAAGAAGAAGAATAAGAGAACTAGTGAAAAGGATGCACACACACACAGAAAAGAAGAAGAAAGGGGATTAAAGGAAGAAGAATACGATGAGGATGATAACAATGAAGAAGCAGGAGATAAGGTGAAGGACTGAATATTGGTCTTCTATAGCTAAAAAGAAGATGAGGAAGGAAAGAGGGGAAAAAAACGTGTAGCAAAGCTATTAAAATAAATTTACCCCAGACTTTCCTGTATGAAAGTAAACATTTCCTAACAAGGCTGACTTGCATGTGATGTTCCCAGATCGACACAGTGCACTAACTGATCCACTCTGTTGACGAAACAAATAAAAAATTTAATAAGAAACTAATCACCTTAAAAAAATGGCGCAGAACTTTGATCAGAATGAGGACCTCGTCAGTAGATATGATGTACGATGTTCTTATAAGTATAAAATCATAAAGTATTCTTAAAAAATTAAAATAAAAAAATTAAAAATTAATATTCCAATCCCCGCATCGGTTCTGTGGCCCCATTGTGGGGGAAACAAGAATAGACCCATTGCCTCCCCAACAAGCATATCGTAAGAGTAGACTAATTGGGGGTTTCCTTTGAAGTCAGAGTGCATCTGCCTGAGAGGCAGAAACCAACAGTCTGCATACAAATAAGTCAGATCTGTAAAATGTTTGTGCACACACCACTTAAGTTCTGAAATGAGTATAAAGTCCAGAGGCAGATGAACAACCAGAACTTTCCAACAGAGTTTACAGTTGGTGAACGCAAAGAAGAAGGAGAAGAGAATAAAGATTCCATGTCCTTTGAGGTGTAGTTGATATATGGCTAGTGCCATATATGTTTTGAGACCATATCAGTCCTTGATGGGTGATGAAGTTTTTATTTCCGAGGAAAATTCTTGCTAGCCCTTTGAAACTTCTATTTCTTCTCTGGTCCTGTTCTGACATTTAGCATAAGGTTTTGAAGAGACATCGGGTACGAGCGTTGGTATGTGCTATGTAGATTTTTATGACTTATGATATCCATCTATCCATTTTTTGGATCACTGTAGTGCACTTTAAGCTCAAGCAACTTAAGAGGTCCCTTATGCTCAAGCAACTTAAGAGGTCCCTTATGCTCAAGCAACTTAAGAGGTTCCTTATGCTCAAGCAACCCGAGAGCTCAATTAATATAAAATTAATATTTAAAAAAATGACACCTAAATGTTACCAATAGATAATTAATTGTTCTGCACACCTTGATGGGACACCAATAGGTAATTGTTCTAGTCACTGCATTCAGGAGGCTTCCATAATTAAAAAAGAACACCAGAGAAACAAAATCATGGAAACAATTAAAAACGTGAAAATATATAATTACAAAAGTAAAAATTATCTATAAGTTATACCTTGATGTTACTAAAAACACAGTCTCCCTTCTCACTTTCAATGGCGATAGCTTTACTCTCCATCTTCTCCACTAAAAGTGAACTGTCATCAGTCATGGTTAATATCAGATCTGCACGACATTGATTGAGAAATGAAAGTGACACAATTTATTAAGCACAAGTCAAACCCTCGGAGGGGGGGGGGGGGGGGGGGCATGGAGTTATAAGAATATAGTTTTAATTGACCAATCGGTCCTCGATGGGTGATGTGGTCAACACCAAGTCAACTGCCTTTACTTCCCAGGACTTTACCTGAAATCGTTTTAGGCTGGGCTGACCTGGGAGCCAGGGTCAATTTGGAAAAATATCCAATACAATGCAGATTTAAACCAAAGACCTTCAAGCTAAAGGCAGAATGTCTGGTCCAGAGATGTGCAATCTTTTCTAGTCCACGGGCCAAATTTAGAATTACAAAGCTGGTCAGGGCCGTACAGAAAATATCCTCCAACATAAAATACAGATTTCCTCATAACATGATATTTTTGTGGGATAATTATTCTAAGATTATAATCCCTTGCTACACCTCTGGCCAGACACACTCACCCCCGCAGCTCTTCTATATATTCCTAAATGTGCCGGGTCCTAGAAAAAAAAGAATGGTTGTTACCTTTTATTCTATTATCAGAGTCCACTGACAGATGCTGTTTCCTAATATCTGAGTTTGTCCGCAATACATGTTTTACTTGCAGCATCAAAAAATTGGTGACCTAAGTTTCTGGTTATCACTAATAAGGTTATCACTTTTGGGATGTTGATATTTGGATTTTTTTTTTTCTGCATTCGAACATATGTTTTTGTGTTCTGCTATTTTGTTAGTTCAAGAGACAGATTATATAGTAATGTTACACCAAGGGCCATAGTTTACCCACCACTGGTCCAGCCGCTATACCACCACAGCTCCAAAAACTACAGCATTTATATGTGGCAACACATGCTACTTATGTACCAGTCTTGACCTATTGGGGTGAGTCACGGGCAATAAAAACAGTTCACAGAAGTCAGTCTCAGGCCTCAGAAATGAGTTATCTGAGAAAGGTGGTTCAAGTGACAAGAAAGGACAAAGTAAGCAATCAGACATTACATCAAGATCTTGATACCCAGTCCTTACAAACCCGAGTGGATCAGCCACAGTAATGATGGTTTGACATGAATGCAGAATGGGAGAAAATGGGACTACCATGGCAGGCATGGGAGGCTAAGAACCAGGAAAACAGAACTCCAGGGCGGCCTAGGGTCTGCTGGGAAGACAACATCCGACAGTCCCTAAATGACAGAGGACTGGAATGGAACAAAACCAGTAAAGAAAACTGCTGATGCTTGGCGATCTTTCTGGCAAACCTCTACACCCCAAGGAAGAAGAGGAGCAACTAAGTAACAACACATGAAATTGTCTATGTATATAACTTACCAAAATGCATCGGGACATGAAGAGTGCAGATTATCGGTACGAAAACCCCCTTTATTAAATCACAGGAGATCTTCATATTTGCTTTATCTGCATCAAACCCAACCCGCAGATCATACAAGTCACTAATCTGGCTCAGCTGATGAGGAGTTGGTACTTCTGCACCTTCAGTTGCATCAAAATGTAGCTGTATAATCACTTTGTTCATGTTAGGATAACTTTCTGGGTTTAAAGGTCTTACTTCTGTTCTAAAAGGAAGGCTGGCCTCTAAAGACCCACGTGGACAAACTTCATAGAACCAGGTTTCTATGAGAGATTCAATATTTCTGGGTCTGGGAACACTGTCTTCAGAACATTCCTTAGATGTGTCTGGGCTATGTCCCAGACGACTGTGAGTTGCATGGTAACATTTAGAACTGTTTCTTTCTTTCACTTTTATTACAGTCTTGTTGTTTAATACTGGTGCCTGGTGCCAGGATAACAAGGAACTTATTTTTGAAGAAGTAGTTCCCAATGTTGACAACGAATAATTCAATAACAATTTCGCTTTAGCACAGTCTGAGTAATGCTGCTTCCTTGTTAATTTCAAAATCAACTGTGTTTGTGACAGATGCAAAACGCTCATGGATGCACACAGTGGTAAACTAAACACTTTCCTAATAGTTGTACTGCACTTGCCAATGATGAGATTCATTTTGATAAGTCACTCTGGCAAAGTTGTACTGTCCTCTGCAAGCCACAAAAAAAAAAAAAAAAAAAAGCTGAGTTTGTAATACAAAAATATAATGAAAACACTAATAACAGATGAGGATAAACTTATGACTTGGATAATTTTGAATTCTTCCTTTTCTTCTTCAGCGTTCCGAGCCTTTGAGAGTCACTGCTGCAGATATCACCCACCTCCACTCATCTTTGTGGTTGGCCTTCTTTTCAGCTGGTGACACTAAGTATTTGCATGTCTGTCTGGATGTTATCTCTCTATCGTCTTCTTGGTCTGCCTCGTGGTCTATTATAATTGGGCTCCCTTGCGTATACAGTTTTTACCTCTCTGTGATTTGACATTCTTTTAATATGCTCAAGCCATTTCAGTCTATTAGATCTCATGATGCCAGTGATCAATGGTGATTTAAACAGATTATGAATTTCATTGTTGCTTCTCACTCTCTATTTCCCAATGTTTGCATCTTTGATGTGTCCAAAGATTCTCCTAATACTGTTTTCAAAAATTTGTAATGAGGCTTCATCTCTTTTAGTTAAAAGTTTTAATTTAATTATGATAATTTATGTAATAGGAATCCTAAAATTGTTATAGTATTGTATTTTGCATACATTTTTTAGAGAATAACACAGTATATAGACAGCAAATGTGCTTTCAGGACATTATAAGACCAGTGAGACTGAAAACTTGAAACATTACTGGAGTGCAATAAAACTGAGTCGTGGACTATCTCTCAGTCCTTAAGAAAGAGAATATGGGCTTTTGAGCTGAAATGCTATAGAAAGATTCTCAGAATATCTTGGACAAAGAAGATGAGAAATATTGACATCTTAAAAGACCTGAACATCTAGGCGGGAGAACTGACGAGAGACCGAGTTTCTTACATTCAGACTGTGATGAGAGCGACGTTCTGCACAGGACCTGCTACATGATGATAATGAATAAAACTGATTTCTTATAGAACAGACTGCCGTATGAGCACTATAAATATTAAAAACCTCAACTTGAGTGTAAAAAAAAAAGAAAAGAAAAAAAGAAGCAGATCTACGAAGACTACAAGATTTAAATGTCCACTAAAAATGAGTAAAATAACATAAAAAAACAACAGAGAAGAGGTGTCATCAAGTATTACCAGTAACAGAGAACGGAAAATGTTTATCTGCCGCTGGTAAAATAATCCTAACAAACTACAATTATTTCGGCTATCTGCTAACGATACTGTAACCAATGACAAACTATAATGTTTGCAAGAATCTCATTTGATCTGTCACTGACTGTAACCAATGACAAACTACAATGTTTGCAAGAATCTCATTTGATCTGTCACTGACTGTAACCAATGACAAACTACAATGTTTGCAAGAATCTCATTTGATCTGTCACTGACTGTAACCAATGACAAACTACAATGTTTGCAAGAATCTCATTTGATTTGTCACTGACTGTAACCAATGACAAACTACAATGTTTGCAAGAATCTCATTTGATCTGTCACTGACTGTAACCACTGACAAACTATATAATCTACAAGAATCTCAACTATACTATTTCCGGTTACATTTGGATACCGTTTGTTTATATGAAAATTTATATAAAAATTGCAAACTTATTTCAAGCAGAAACAGCCATTTCATGTAATACTGTTATCGCTAAAGCATACAAATTGATAATATGAATATTAAACGAACATTAACTCATAAGTATTTGGATGCAAATTTCCCCTACTTCAAAATACTGAGAGAAGAAATACAATCCAGGATACAATCTGGAACTAAAGTATACTATGCCCTTTAACATCTGCTAAAAACAAAGTTTCTATCTCCCAACACCAAGATAAAAATGTAAAAAACATTGTCTTATATAGCTCCAAAACTTGGAGTACAACTAAAAGAGATGAAGCCTTATAAATTTTCGAAAATAGCCTTACAATGAATTTTTTTCTGTTTCTGACCCATCAAAGATGCAATCAGAGGGGAATGGAAAGTGAAAAGCGATAATGGAATTTCTAATCTGTTTACATCACCATTGATCACTGGTACTATGAGGGCTAAAAACTAAAATGGCTTGGGCATACTGAAAGAATGTCTGATGATAAAGAGGTAAAAGCTGTAAACACAAAGGAGCTGAATGGTTGTTGACCAGAAACAGACCAAGAAATCGATAGAGAGATAATATTCAGACAGACCCACAAACACTTAGTGTTTCCTTATGGAATGAGAAGGCTAACCATAGAGATGAATGGATGCGGGTGATATCAGCATAAATCTTCTTCTTCTTTGCGTTCGCCAGCTGTAAACTCTGGCGGAAAGTTCTGGTTGTTTATCCACCTCTGGACTGCAGTCCTGTTCCAGAACCTGAGTGTTGCGTGTGCATCCCTTTTACAGATCTGACTCATTTTTATGCAGACTGCCGGTTCCTTACCTCTCAGGCAGATGCACTCCGACTTCGAAGGAAGCTCCCAATCAGTCGACTCTTTCGACATGCTTTTGGGTAGGCACTGGGTCTATTCTTGTTTTCCCTATAATAGAGCCCTGGAACACACACGGGGTATCAGCATAAATGAACCTCAAGGGTTCAAAATGCTGATTGTTAAAGTACAATTATTCCAGCATAAAACTTGAAACAAAAGAAAAGCCAGTCCCAAAGGTGCAGAAGGTTAAAGCAAAGCAGAAGAATTATAATGCAAACTGCCAGAATATTTATGCATTTCATTCTGTGCAATGGCAGATTTATTTTCATAACTATAAGAATAATAATTACAGCAGGCCTATTAATGATAGTCACTGAGAACAATGATCAGTCGTACTTGTTGACATGTTCTTTCGAAATGATCAAACTGAGATTCCTCTTGGCTCTTGGCCTTTGGGGTCTCGAGTTCAGTGTTCACACAGTCAAGTTCAAGTTCTCTACTCTAGTGGTGCTCGTTCTACTCACTGTCATTAAAACCAGAAGCATCGAGACGTCTTGAATGCCGTAACTCTAAGTGTAATTGTTTGAGAAGCAAAAAGTTTATTTGAAAACTTCAGCAATACAGTGCTAGAAGTTCTGCCGGTGTCTACACAGTACACAGTCAGTCACTATTGAATATTGATATCGCTATGTCTCTACGTCCTAACTTTGAACAGAACTCTTACATGGCGGAAAATGCAAATCGTACGCAGGTTTAGTATGTTTTTATTTCTATTAATAATTAATGTTTTTATTTCTATGTTATTTATTTAAATACACCGTATAGTTTCTTATTGTTGGAATATAAATGGTATAGTGAGTATAGAGTGCCAATACAATTTATTGATAAGTTTTACAATAAATATATAATGTCACTTAAAAATAATAGTAACATCACAACCGAGCCAACTTTTACTCAAGTACTGTATGTGAACCAGTGTTGCCACTTTGAATGTTTTACATCAAGATTTAGATGTTTTCCCTTACATTTAGAGGACGTTTTTGACGTTTAGATGGTAGATGATTTTCTAGAGTTTTCAATTTAGAGTGAATTTATCAAATCTAACCTAAGAAACAGGATGAAATTTGACCTCTTAAATGCTATCTTGACAGTAAAATTCGGCCTGATAAGAGTAGGAAAAGGCTGTTCCACTTATCAGCTCCCTGATTGGGTATTAGAAGAAATTGGAACAGCTAAAGCATACCAGAGTCATTTTGGAACTGAAGCTTCAACCTTATCATCCAAGCTAAGTTTATCCTGTGGATCTTGTAAGGCAAACTTCAGTAAAGATGAGGACATGATTCTATAGGGTAAATCATATCAATTGCTATGTAATTTGTGACTTTCCATTTGGATGTTTTGTCTAAATGTTTTCCCACGCAAATTTAAATGTTTTTAGATACTTTTGACTCCGTTTTGGATATTTTTTGTCAAAGAAAAGTGGCAACCCTGATGTAAACTTTCATACACAAGATGTAAAAGAGGGAAGTTCAACTGGCATAAGATACGGCTCTTTTATGTTAGACAACTAAATTCAACGAATAAATCGGACATACAGAAGTATTGGCTGCTTCTCATATAGAATAAAAGGCAGAAGTGGATAGATGATCTATCATCTTCAAATAATACCGCCCTTTTAAGGAAATAAGTCGTACATAATAAACTTATAAAGTAAATACGTCATTATGCCTACGCCGCAACAAAGTACAAACACAGCAGAATTTACTAGTGCTCTTAAGAAGGTTTTTCACATTCACAAAAATATTGTTGCAGGTAACATATACTGTTCTATACTAAAGGGGGGGTGGGGGGTGGAGAGCATTGTTATTTGTTATTAGTAATAGTATTAATAAGTTTCGTTAGTTAGTTTGTGCAGTAGTTACTTTAATCTTTCATTAGTAAGTGAGGCAGCATTCCCAAACTCACAAACAGATTGTTGCAGGTAACATTTATTGGCTCTCCTTCGAACTTCATGACCATATTATGGCGGCCAAACAAATACCCTAACAGGGCCTCAGTCGTGTTTTGCCACAATTTGTTCCTCGGCAGGAATTCAGCATTTTACACACAACTTAGGCCCTGCTAGGGTATTGGTTGTTGGTTTGGACTGTTTGTCATGATCTTAGTTTTTTTTTTGTATTTTTTTTTTAGTCTTACCATTTCTGCTGTGTAGTCTGTTACTTTTTTCTTGTATATGTTCATGTTTATGTGATAGGAGGGCTATATCATCTTCAAAATCAACGTCCTCAAGCATGGTGAATGGAGTCCATCGTATGCCTCTTAATGTCCTGTCTACTGTGTTCTTTCTTTAGTATCCAATCAATCACAATTTTGAAGAGGATGAATTCACTAATATTTAATTTTCTGTGAAAATTGTGTCATAAAGTTGACATTTGATATAATATGTCACATACTGAGACATAAATACTCTAGCTGACATTCCATACCATCACTTGGGCTTGGAATGTAAACATCACTGTAATAACTAGTCTACTAATTACTAGCTTTCTATGTTGGAAAAAATATT